GTAGCTATTCTCTCAATGCACTGCTACGCAATCTTATTCAACAATATACAATTGTTACAACTTTAAATAACAATTCTGAGTTCAGTGACCATGAAACAATCCTTAAATCGAACTAAACAAAACAAGTTACCAGATAACAACTTATTTTGGAATCCAATTTCATGAGTTGGTTGGCACGTTCTTCAATTTATACAAGATAGAATCCTACTTACGATTCAATTCAATTCCTTCGTAAAGAAAAACATACCTTAAGCAAAGAAACTACCTCTCGAAATACTTATGGTTTTTGGGAAGTAAATGATCAGACCCACAATAAAAGGAGACTCTTTCAATTCCCATATCAATGTGATCACTCACTCACTCACTAAGACAAACCAGATATTAAATGTACAAAATTTCAAGAATCCTTTATGAAAAATTCAATCTTTAATAACCATAAGACTAGCAATATATTTGGGACTTAAAAAAAAAACAAATCACAACAGAAATCTAAAGACTCTTTCCTCCCCAACAAAACCACAAAACCCCCTTCTCTCACTCTTTTAGAAAAATTAAAAAAAAAAGTGTTTCAAATCTTTAATGACAATAAGACTAGCAAAAAAATTCATTCTTTCTAAGCATATGGTCAAGATCTGATAGCTAATTTATTATTTGAGGATTGTAGATTAAGAAAATTAAAATAGTGAATACATTTTTTCGATTTTTGGGTGTTGGAAATTAATTCTTATATTCTGAAATCTGTATAAAGACATTCCTCATTTGTCTATGCTCCTATGGTCACACACTCATAAATGGTTCCAAATCTGAAGGCTTTATAGTTCTTTTTTTCAGGATTAATATAATTATACTTATTTTGGAATCCAATTTCATGAGTTGGTTGGCACGTTCTTCAATTTATACAAGATAGAATCCTACTTACGATTCAATTCAATTCCTTCGTAAAGAAAAACATACCTTAAGCAAAGAAACTACCTCTCTAAATACTTATGGCGCTGAAATATTGTGAATCCCCTTTTCCGGCAACATTAACGACGAGAACCAGCTCTTAGCGAGGGAATGAAAAAAGGGGAAAAATATGAAATAGGGTTTATTTAGGTTAGAAGGTGAGGGAACTGCGGCTAATGGGTTATAAGATAATAATTCTAAAACGTTACCATCTGTAACGTATTTCGACTTAAACTCTAAAATGTTACTTTCAGTAACGTATTCCAACTTAAACTCTAAAACGTTACTTTCAGTAACGTATTCCAACTTAAACTCTAAAACGTTACTTTCAGTAACGTATTCCAACTTAAACTCTAAAACGTTACTTTCAGTAACGTATTCCAACTTAAACTCGAAAACGTTACTTTCAGTAACGTATTCCAACTTAAACTCTAAAACGTTATTTGTAGTAACGTATTATAACTTTAACGCCGTCCCCCGTTAGTTTTGGTCTGTTTCTTGGCAGAATTAATAGATGGCCTAATACGTTACTGTCAACAACGTTTATACTAGTTTTGTAAAATTTTGAAAAAATATATTACTGTTGTAAATTGATTTAAATAATAAATTATTTTGGTAAAAATCTCTGTTTAAGTGTCATCCTACTATTGTTTTAGTGTGACTCTAGTGCAGTTGTTTTTTGTGTAATTCTAGTCGTGTTTAAGAACGCATATGTTGTTGCTGTTTTGGTATATTACAGGTGTTGTTTTAATGCTTTTCCGCATTAATTTTGGTGTTTTTTAGTTTGATCCTACTGTTATTTTAGTGTCACTCTAGTGCAATTGTTTTATGGTTTCGTACCTTGGTCAGTCAGATTTCAAGCGTCTCATTTCTTTTCTTTTCTTTTTTAGCTCTCGACCCTGCACTCTTTTTCAATCAATGAATGTATAAATTTGGATTTTTCTTGGCTATCATCCTACGTGAATCTACATTTATGTAAGTTTCATGTAACATTTAATGCATAACACTAATCTTAATCTAAAAATAAAAAGTCCTTCTAGGAATTATTTGAGGAGGTTGTTGGCGATTTTGATTGCCCTGGTCTGTTCTTGTCCATTTGATGTTGGGTTCTAATATTTGTCAACTGAAAATTTTATGTTATTAGAAAAAATCACAATCTCCCCAGGGCATGTTTATATGCACGTTGCAAAGGAGTAACATTCTTGCTAATTGGTTCATTCACAACATTTTATAAATGACCTTCACTTTTAGTGTATGCATCATCACAGTTAGTGTTAGGAAGGGGATTACCTAATTTCTTCTTATTATCTTGAATTTATTATTTTTCAATTTTACCTTCTTGCTGCTCCTGATTATCATGTTGAGTAGGCTGGGTTTTTCGGCCATAGTGTGTCATGACTGGAATCTAGACCCCTGACAAGACCGACGTTGTTGACCTCTCAGAGGTTGCAAACAAGCATACTTACGTCATTCTTACTTTACATAGGTTAATTTTAGTGGAAAATTTGAAATTTTTGATTTTTGAATATACTTGCTAAACATTTTTTTTATATTTCGTAATAACCATCTAACATTTAAGAAATAAGCAACTGAAAGAAATAATTCATTAAGTATTAATTGTATATCGGCCAAAATAGCACCAATACAAAGTCTGAACCAAAACAGGAATGAAACGCTAGTGGAACATGCTCCACTAGCTCAACTCTAAAACTACGCTACAATGTAAAACAGTAGCATCCTCGAAAGCGTGAGGACCTACCAAACTCCGGATGAATGCTGACGTCCGGATAGCTGCAACAACGAACCTGTAGCTCTACCATTCACTTGTGCCTGCACCTAAAAGTAGATGTTTGTATAGATAGGGTGTTACTACGATTAGGAGACTAAATTCAAGACTTAGTCAAAGACGATTTAAATTAGATTAATAAAAATCTGATTTATTTTAATTAATACGTGAAAGGACCATTATGCCCTTTAAATTTAAGATTTTTAATTAATAATTAAATCACCTTAAGTACCTATTTGTTAAAAAAAAAATTGAATCGTTACATAGTGTGAGTGCTTGCAGGTTCCTTTCAGAACTCAATTTGAATGGGAGTTGGACTAGACACCATCGAATTGTCCTGAAACCCAAATAAGAAATTTGAGGATTGTGCATCACCAGAGTAATTCCCTGCAACTGGATTTCTTGATTTTTTTAATCATATGTAAAGTGATTTTGTGTGCGTTTTAGGGGGTCTAGAAACCTCTTGTCCTATTTTTATCATATGGTTGAAAAATGTACATTGCATTTAAGCTTAAAAGCTTATGCATCTTTCTCCGTTATCCTTCAAAATTAGTTTTGTTCCCTATCTTTAATGCTTTCTAATTTTCTCTACTTATTATAGGAAAAATATGAAGAAATGTTACATAACAAACTATCTCAAATTGATATTGATCAATGTAAAACATATTTTCAAGATGCGGGGGAAAAAAGAAATGAAGAATATACGGTCGTGGATCTGAAGCAAAAGGTTACTATGGGAAAAATCATTGTGGCTCATCATCATTACCAACTCCATTTTCTCAATCAACACCGACAACAAATATACATGAGTTTGTAAAGCAAATTATGCCGACACTCACTATTCATCTTATTCTTATTATTGTTGAACAGGTGCAAGCATCGATTACTTATCCCTTCGGCTTGTGACACCCATAATGCCTTCTACTACTAATGTGGATGATGTTGATCCTTCAATTTCAAGTATTGATCATATCTTATTCTCCCGCAACTTTAGTTTTTTATATTGTCGTGTTTTTTGGAAACTACAAATTGTGTAGTAACATTTTGATGAATGTAGGTTCAGTTAAGAGTATTTGATAGTTTTCTTTAGATATTTTAAACCAAAAATGTGGTTTAGATTTTTATATTTATATATTATGAATCGTATATGAGTATTATATTGTATGAATTTTGGTTATTTATAGAAGAATAATCTTTAGCAACAAATTTAGCGATTATTTAGTCGTTGCTATGTAAAGAATGTTGGCAACGAATTAGCGACATATTATTGAAGGCCTAATATGAATAAATGAATTATGAAATTAGCAACAAAACAATATAAATATGACGACGGCTATGTCCGTCGCTAACAATGACGACGGCTATGTCCGTCGCTAACAATGGCGACGGAAATATTTCGTCACTATACATCACTAACTTGTGACAAAACTCCTTTCTTTGTCCTAGAATTATGAAGTAGCGACAGAATTCTATAAATATAATGACGACTATGTCCGTCGCTAACAAATGGTAACAAAAATATTATGACACTATGATGTCGCTAAACTAGTGACAGACTCATATTTTCGTCGTGAAGAGCTTACGAACAAGCATAATAGCAACAATCAATAGTCCGTTCCTATTCCGTCACTAATCATGTTTAGTGACGGATTTTCGTTGGATAGTGACGGATTTTGCCCGTCGCTAAACACAATTTGTTTTGTTGTGTTAGCATGGAGGGTCTAACACAGGGATGGGATTTGTAGACTGTAGCATGAAGATTTTTAGTAAGGTTTTTTTATAAGTTAGGGGTATTTACATAATTTAACAATCATTTTTTGGAGTTTATGTCTTTAAG